AGGCAATTCTCCTTTGCCTTCCCGGCTCTTTCTCAGGGAGATCCAGCTAAACTGCTGGGATTCCCACTGTGTAGAGGAAGGGTTTTTTGGTTTGGGGGTGGAGACAGGGTTTGCATTCAGTTTCACTGAGTTCTCAAGTGCTCATTGCGGCTCACGCACTGTTCTGAGTGCTTTGTATGATCCAAGTGCATTTAATCCTCACAGTGAAGTAGATAACCTTGATATCCTCATTTTTCAGTTGGGGAAATTGAGGCTCAGAGATGTCAATCAACATGCCCAGGGTCCCACAGCTAAATTGCAATGGAACAGGAATTTGGACTTAGGCCCACTGATTCCATAGCACACAGTCTTTACTTCTAGGCTGTATTTCAAGTGATGGCCAACAGTAAAAGGCAGCATACATAAAGCATCTTCCTCCCAAGACACAAAACACCTTCAAATATGTTGCCACACTTATCCATAGTGTACTATTTTTCTAATCTGGAAAGGTGGGGTCTAGGTAGTCAAATATGGGACAGAACAAGGAAGAACTTAATTTTGTGAAAACGTGGCTTTCAGTGTGGATTCATCTGAGAAACGTGGGCTGAAGACGTCCTTTAGCCTTCCTAGGTTCTCTGATTTTCTACATATGCGATCCCAGAAAACAAAGAAAAGCTTAATCCAGTCCTTTATGTCCTCTCCTGAGGACGGGATCAACATGCCCATCTGATTTTTTTAAAAGCCTCTCCAGGCACGTGAATGCACAGATTTCTTGACAAGCCGGTTCTGCTTCAAGCCTTCCTGGAGGCTTCTAAGGCTAAGCTGAAGCCAGTTCTTCTTTACTCCCTTCCTCGTGTTCCCTAAAAGCAATCCCTCCATCAGTGTTAAACACAAATTCAAATGCAGAAGAAGCCAGGGATGCAGTAAGATTTGGAACAATTACATGCCTTGATGTTTCTTTCCTGCTCTTACTCTGCAGATTCTTTTTTCCCTTCTCCCGATCCACACTTTCTGATGTCTATAAAGCTGTCGTCACTGATGCAGCCAGTCATGGGAAACAGGGTGCATCTTTTTAATATTCTTCCAGCTTGCCGAGGAAATGAGTGATGCTGATAGACAGTATGGCACAGGATATTCTTCCTGCAGGTCGCTTCTCATTTTCTAATCCAGGCCACCCTGGCAAGACCCCAGGCTTGCAAATGATTAGCAGAACGGGAGAAGAGTTTTAGAAACTATTTGAAGAATCCTCTAAATGGAAGCACAATTCTCGGCACCAAGTAGACAGGTAATAAAAGAAGGTGAAAAAAGTAAGTGAGCAGTGGCCTATGTTTCCAAAAGAGGGCTCCATTGACTCCTAATGACTGAGACCCCTCCCTAGGGGGCGGAGAGTAGAGAAATGCACAGCTGAGGATGAAGCCTCATGAAGAAAATAGTCTGTACGCTAAAGAAGCCCAAAATGGAATTACTTGGATAAACTGGATGCCTGGGGGGGGGGGGGGGAGGCGTGGGTAGGGACACAGCAGTATGCAGACCACCCCCTTTATTTGGGAGGGGGTATTTTTATTATTTTTTAATACACTTTATTGTCAAGCTAGCTAACATACAGTGTATACAGTGTGTTCTTGGCTTCAGGAGTAGATTCCCTTGATTTATCACTTACATACAACACCCAGTGCTCATCCCAACAAGTGTCCTCCTCAATGCCACCCCACAGCGCCACGAATGGTGAGATCATGACCTGACCGGTAATCAAGAGTCGAACATTTAACTTACTGAGCCACTCAGGCACCCCTACCCTGGGGGTAATTTTATATCAGTGTATAAAAGAGGCTCCTCATTCTTCTTTTTATTTTTAGTGCATAGTATTCCACTATGAATGTGCCATCATTTATTTAACTAGTCTCCTATTAAAAGACCTTAAGATGGCTCCCAAACTTTCACCATTATACATGGTTCCATGTACCTAAATCATTTTGCACATAAGCAAATACATTTTTTGGATCAATTCTCAGCAGTGCAATTGCTGGGTCAAAGGTATATGCGTTTTGTATTTTGATAATATTGACATGTTGCCAAATTGTCTCCCTTAGAGGTGGTAGGAGAGCCTCACTGAGCATTAACAAATTTCTGAATTTTGCCAATCTGGTTATGAAAAAGGATATGTCAGAGGAGTTTTAAACTACATTTTTCTTATATTGAGTGACACTGAGGATCCTTTCATGTTTTCTTCCTTTTCTGTATAGTTGGTATAGCCACTGTTCATTTTTTTTTTTTAATTTATTTATTTGCGGGGGGAGAGAGCGAGAGCAATCAGGGGAGGGACAGAGAAAGAGAGAGAATATTAAACAGGCTCCACTGCAGAGCCACCTGGGGGCTCAATTTCACAAACCATGAGATCATGACCTGAGCCGAAATCAAGAGTTGGACACTTAACGAACTGAGCCACCCAGGTGCCCCACTGTTCATTTTTCTATTGAGTTTATTTGTAGTACTTTATATATTAAGAAAATCACTTTTCTGTGATAGAAGTTATAGGTATTTTATACCAAACTGGAGCGTCTTAACTTTCAATCGTTTTGGTCTTGAGAACACTAACTCTGGAACCAGACTGCTTGAGTTTAAATCCTGGCTCTGCCACTCAGTGTGTGACCTTGAGCAAGTTACTTAACCTCTCTCTGACTCAACTGATCAGTGAAGTAGTGACATTAACCATACTTACCCCACAGGATTGTTGTAATTAAAAGAATGAATATGGAAAGGGCTTAGAAAATATGTGGCACACGACAAGGACTATATAAGTATGTTTTTTCTTTCAATGTAGTCAAATTAATGTTATTCTTTTTTTTAATTTTTTTTAACACTTATTTCTTTTTCAGAGACAGAGCATGAGTGGGGGAGGGGCAGAGAGCGAGGGAGACACAGAATCTGAAGCAGGCTCCAGTCTCCGAGCTGTCAGCACACAGCCCCACATGGGGCTGAAACCATGAGATCATGAGCCAAAGTCGGATGCTTAACCCACCGAGCCACCCAGATGCCCCAAATGTTACTCATTTTAGATGCCATTTCAGAGAAAACTTGTACTTGCCTCAAAATGGGGAAGAAAAAAAAAAGGAACTACTTCTACTTTTGATGGTAACATGCACTATCCAGATAGATACTCAGCCTTCCTCAGAACAGACGGTGCTCAATCCATGGGCACATAGACCAAGCAGTCACCACATCTACTCAACAATAACCCTCTTTGGTAGGGATCATCATCACTTTATCTGTGAGCTACCTTAGGTTCACGGACAGCCAAATGACTTTGCCCAAGACCACACTCCCTTTGTGCCTTGATCTGAATATGTTCTTTGGCCTTTTTTCTGTGGTGTGCCTGGAGCAGATCCCTAAAGCATGACCAGCCCTCTGGCGGGCTAGCGGCCACTCACTCAGCACGCCCCAAAGCCAACTGCTTCCTGACTTCCTCCAGCAACCCTAGCTCTTCAGCTTGGAATCCCATTAGACTCCTCCCACAGAATTCATCAAGCCTCCGCAGATTCTCCCTCCTGGGAAATGTTATCTCCCATCTACCCTCCTTTCCATCCCAGCTGCCAGCACTCTGACTCAGTCCTGACTACCTCTCACTGGGACTGTGGCTGCAATAAAGCTTCTCAGGAGCCTCTCAGCCAACGTCCACCATCTTTTCTCTCCAGTCTCTTCTGCAGTGCTGCCCTGATCTCCCCTAAGCCCAGCATCAGTCCTGCACTGCCCCATTCTCAACCCTTTAGAGGTCCCCTCTGCCTGGTCTGTTCCCTGACATTTGACCCAACCTACCCTGCTGGTTTTGCTTCCCAGACTCCCCGACCATCCAGCCAAAACGAATGGTTCACTATTCTTTGATCAGGCTTCCCAGTCAGGTTGTTTGTTCAGCTTAGAATTTCTCTCTCTGCCTTGTCTTCTGCGCCACTCAAGCTTCACAAAGCTGTCTTTTATTGTGACTGCACTCATTCTCATTCCCCTGCTCCACACCCTGCATTTGTTTGTAAACTCCTTGAGAGCAGAAATTCTACCTTCTTTATTATGGACTGAAACGCTTTCACATAGAGATACAACTGATAAACCACACAACCCATTTCCTAATTGGTCCAGCCACTCACAGGGGCCTGGGTTAAAAAGACACATGGTGTGCCAGGCTTGCTAGGGGAAACGACCAAGCCTGGCCTATTTAATTTCTTTTTTCTTTTTCTTTTCTCAAGCCTGGCCTATTTGAACCCAGATCTTCTCCTAGAACTGTCACTTCTGGCAAACTGCTCATCACCGGCTTCTAGAAGTTCTGATAGCTGTCAGCTGATATCTGGAACAGGAACCGCACACACAGAACATTCTAGAAATATTATTGGTATGAACAAACTCTGCGCTGGAGAGAACAGCAGAACGATTTCATTGTTTCATGAACGCACAAAAAGGTAAAAGGCTCGTCTTAGGTCACACAACAAAGCAAGAAAACAGAACTAGACCTAGAAGCGAGCCTCCCAATGCTAGTTCAGGGCTCGCTCCTCCACACCTTGGAGCTATACAGACCTAACACAGAAGCCTCAACCACCTGAGGTCACTGTCCAAGACCCCATCTGTTCCTTTTTCTCCCTCATCTCAGAGACTCCTTTCCCCTTCCTACAGCAAAATCCTTCCTCCTCCCCAGGTCTCAGCTTTGAAGCGACGAGAGGACTTCTCTGGGCTGGACCCATTGGCTTTGGGCAGACATGGTAGGCGTGGCTGGGTTAGGTACCCACCTAGTCCAAGGATGCCCCCTCGGAACTTCCGGGTTCAGAACTCACCCTCCTACCCGGCCCGGCCCCGCCCCAAATGCGTCCGGCCCCGCCCCAGCCTCGCCGGCAGACACGCGGCCTCTTCGCCAGGCCTGGGCGGAGCCGAGCTTCCAATCTCCGCCCCCTCCAAGATCCACCCTATTGGCGTAGACAGTCAGAAGACACGCCCAATAAGAAGAAAAGGGGCGGCCGCCTAGTCCTATCCGCTGCGACAACACAAAAAACGGACGCAACTCACTGGCGGACGCTACACCTGGGTCTTTCCGGGTCCTTCCACGCGTAGCCCGTACTCGTGCTGGTCCTGGGCCTGAGAGAGCCAGAAAGGACGCTCTAAGAAGTAAGTGTCTGTCGACGAGCGTGACTTTTGGCGTTGGTCTGGGGGCCGCTGCTGCTCTCCTCACAGAGCGCGGGGTAGGTTGGGCCGCGGGGGAAGGCCGGAGAAAGGGGCGGGGAGCCGCCGAGCACGTGGAACGCTGGCCTGAGGCGTGGGTGGGTGGGGGGCTGGGCCGGCGAGCCTCCGTGTGCAGTCTTCGTGGGCGGGCACAGCAGGGCTCGTCTTGTCTGGTACGTTTTTCGGCCCTGAACACCCGGGTGGGGGTGGGAGGCCCGAGTGTCGCCGCCCTGTGTTGGATCCGAAGGAGCGCTTTTTAAAGCCCTGTTGCTGAAGGTGTCGCCCCGCACCTGTCACCAGGCTGGACCGCGGACCCTTGGTGGCGGGTTCCCTGAAAGTTGAGGTTGTGTTCAGAGCCAAGGCACGCTGAGCGCTGACGGAGTGCCAGGCACTGTGCCAGCTGCTCCCCGAGCAGTTTTCCCCCCGCCAACGCTGTGAGGTGGGCACACTACCTTTGTCAGACGCGGGAAGAGGCCTGTGAGGTTTCGCTCGCCCAGGCTGACTACTGAACTAGTGAGTGGTGGAGGCCCGGCTTGAACCCAAGCTTTCCCAGCTAACCTCCCCTCCCCCCCCACCGCCCCAGTTGTGTGTTAGCGGGAGAGCCACCTTTTCCTCTTCTCAGGGTCGTCGCCCCCCGCCCCCGTTGACCTCGGAAACTGTGATACCCTCTTCCCCCAGGTGGGCCTGGCGTAGTCTACACACCTTGTCTCGCGAATCAAACAGCAAGCAGGAAAGAAAACCGGGACGACTTCCTGGAGGAAACAAAATTCCAAAAATCCCGCTGTCTGACTTTAAATAACAATGTAAATTAGAGTTGAAGTGGCGTTCTGGGGGTGACCAAACCCTGGGGCCTGACCAGCAGGGGTGGAATTCCTTTTCCAACACTCATTGCGTCCTGCTGGGTCAGATACTTATCCGAAGCCTCAGTTTCCTTATTTGTAAAATAGTTAAAAAAAACAACAACTCAAGGTGGGCTTGGCAAGCACTTAGCAGAAGCCATTTTGTATTCGGCTTTACAAGCTATTCAGCATTAGCATTTTCCACATTACAATCCAGTAGTGTCTATAATCTTAATTATTACCCTGTTAGATTTTTTAGGATGTTTCTCACTTTTAAATATGCTGATGCATACTAAATCTAATTCACATACCATAAAATCTGCCATTTTAAAGGGTATGGGTGGGTGGGTTTTGTAGTATATTTAGAAGGTCGTGCTACTATCCTCAGAACATATTCATCGCATACCCGTGCGGCCTAGGCTCTACGAAGAGGCCTTGTTGGGCTCCAGGCCGGACGTTGAGGCCCAGCAGCCAGGGCCTCCCAACCTGAGATCTCCAGTGGGAGAGATGGAGCCTGCATCCCGTGCTGAATTTTAGCCCCAGGCTGGAGCGAGGAGAAGGAAGAGTAGAGGCCCAGGGCAGAGCCCCGTGGTCTCCCATGGTCTGGAGTTGCCCAGGAGGCGTCTTGGGGAAGGAGCAGTGCCAGTTATCGCGAAAACTGGGTATTGCAACCATAGGCCTCTTGGCCACTCCTTTGGAGAGAACTGTGCGACTGTGAGGGAAAGCCGACCAGGGGGAGATCCTGCCACTAGGCCTCTACAGAGACCCTAGATTTGAAGCAGGGCCCAAAAAACTCAGGAACTTGCCAAACTCTGGCTTATCCTCAAGTGGAGATTCATACTTGGAGCCTAAGGAGGTGAACCTTTGAAAGCTTATGAGACCAAGATAAGAATGAAATGAGATGATGTCACAGCAGCAGTGACAGCAAGGAAATGGAGAAGCTAAGCGAAATTAGAGAGGACAAGTCCGGAGGCACCTGGGTGGCTCAGTAGGTTAAGCGTCTGACTTCGGCCCAAGTCATCTTACGGTTCGTGGGTTGGAGCCCCGAGTCAGGCCCTGTGCTGACGGCTAGCTCAGAGGCTGGAGCCTGCTTCAGATTTTGTGTCTCCCATTCTCTCTGCCACTCCCCCACTCATGCTCTGTCTCTCTGTCTCAAAAATAAACTATAAAAAAAGGACAAGTCCGCAAACCCATCTGAGGGGCATGTTGTTTCACAGGCAAAACCCAATTACATACAGCTAGAGTGGATGTTATCCAGCTTTCATGTGGAGAAAGCTATTGGCAGTTCTGAAAAGCAAAAAATAAAGGATACCAAGACTGTATTTCAGTTTTATCACATCGAATTCTGTTTCACAGCAAAGCATTACAGGTATACACTGCTGCCTACCAAAATACCCCAAAGGTTAATGAGGAAGTTTATAGGTTTTTCAGAAGTTCTAGGTATCCACCAGATTATCCACCTCATTCAGATAATGTGAGGATGTAACCCAGTGATGTATCTCAGCTAGTATCTCAGGAAACCAAGAGGGAAGATTTGGTTCACTGTGAGACCAACTGCTTCATACCTGGGAATCCCAAGGGATCTGGGCAAATCAAAAGCACACCTGGCTAGGTTTGCCAATACTGTTGCAGAACAAACTCGGGTAAACTCATAGCAAGAGAAGCCAGTAATAAGAGACAGGGTTTGGAAAAGAGAAAGGGAGAAATTATTTCCAGTTGTGCAGAGAAGGTGGCAGGCTCCAGCCTTAACTGACTTCCCAGTCTGCAATGTGGACATCTGTAGTTTTATAGAGAGAAGTTAGAAGGGTATGTGCAAAAGGACAGATAGGATGTGATCATAGATGGGGGATCAGTATGTGTAGAGCCGGTGATCATGGGAGGGGATGTTTGGGATGTGGCCTTCTATACATTCTGTTGCTGTTAGGACTTTTCTGGCCTGGCGGTTGCAGTGTTCTAGTCAATTCAAAACATCTTCATCAATGCCTCAAGAAAGTATGATAAGAAATCAAAACAGTAGGTTTCAGAGCATGAGTTGGGTGGTCCTGTCTCTTTCTGGTTTTAACTGTTGGGGGTCTGTAGCACTCTTAAGCAAGAGTGCTCGCTGACAGCAGATTAAGAGTTTCTTTTCAGAGATTGCTGTCAGCTAAGTGTATTTGGAAGAGGACAGGTATCCACTTGTTGACTAAGAAAGGATCAACAAGCAGATGATTTGAAAAGTTACAGAAGAAAATTAATTTTCTTATACTTTTTTCCATTTTTATCTTAAAATGACTCTGAATCCAGGATTTCAGTGGTACCCCTTATCTGGGGGAACCCATTCCAACACCCCCACCGGATGCCTGAAACCATGGATGGTACCAAAACCTGTGTATACTACGTTTTTCCTATACATACATACCTGTGATAAAATTTAATTCATACATTAGGCACAGTAAGACATGAACAGCAACTAATGATAGAGAACAGTTACAACAGTGCACCGTGATAAAAGTTATGTGAATGTGATCTGTCTCAAAACTTCTTATTTTACTGTATTCACCCTTTTTTGTGATGATGTGATGATAAAAATGCCTGTGAGATGAGACATTTAGGCTTTGTGACACAATTGATCTCCTGATGATACAGCCGGAGGAAGATCCTCTGTTTCTGGATTTGAACTGGGGAAAGTGAAACCGTGGGCCTGGGGGTCTTCTGTGATGAATCGTAAAACTTTATACCAACCTGCCATGTTAAATCTCAGAATGAAATGCTACTGAAAATAAGGGAAAACATTAAAATAAGTTTGTACTGACCTAAAATGGAGGTTATAAAAAACATTATAGGGGCGCCTGGGTGGCTTAGTCGGTTAAGTGTCTGACTCTGGCTCAGGTCATGATCTCATGGTTTGTGAGTTCGAGCCCCATGTTGGGCTCTGTGCTGACGGCTCAGAGCCTGGAGCCTGCTTCAGATTCTGTGTCTCCTTCTCTCTCTGACTCTCCCCTGTTCATGCTCTCTCTCTCTCAGAAATAAATAAAACATTAAAAATTTTAAAAATAAAAATAAAAAAATAAATATTACATACCCCTAGTCATTTTAACCTCTTACCTTATGATATGGGGGAAGGGGGGGTGTTGTATCATTATCCTCCTCTTTTTTTTTTAATTATGGATTTCAAAGTGTTTCATTTTATTGCACTGTTCTTACAGTAGGGAGTGCTTTAGTAAGTAGATAACAGAAACCAAAAGATCTACCAATTCCATTTAGCTTTTTTTAGGTCAGCTGAAGAAAAGGATTTTATCTAGTTCTAATTAAAAACTTCTATCTCATGAAACGTTAAGTAAAAAGACCAATTTTCTTTTTTTTAAACGTTTACTAAAACATGAAGTCTCATCATTCAGTCTGTATACTTACCTTTCAGTAAGTGTATAATCAAACAGAATAAAGGAAATATGACACTAGTGTATCAGTGTTTACAAATGCACAGGCATAAACTTTAGTTTAAATAAAAGTCACATTCAACCTGATTCTGGTTTTAAAACAAACTGCTGTCCTACTAGAGTATTATATATGAGGGGCCCTGGGTGGCTTAGTCGGTTAAGCGTCCGACTTTCACTTAGGTCATAATCTTGCGGTTCATGGGTTCGAGCCCCGCGTCGGGCTCTGTGCTGACTGCCAGCTCAGAGCCTGGAGCCTGTTTCAGTCTGTGACTCCCTCTGTCTCTGACCCTCCCGTGCTCGTGCTGTCTCTCTCTCTCTCTCTCCTAGAAATAAATAAAACATTAAAAAAATTAAAATAAAAATAAAGTATTATATATGATACCATAGCTTTTAGCACAAAAGCTAGTAATTTGGTGGAATGTTGCCTACGAAAACATAAACAGGTACACGTGGAACATCATAAATCATTAAAAAAATTTTTTTTTAACGTTTGTTTATTTTGAGGAGAGTGCTCTGCCAGTGCAGAGCCCAGCTCAGGGCTCAATCCCATGACTGTGAGGTCATGACCTGAGCTGAAATCGAGAGTCAGTCACTTAACCAACTGAGCCACCAAGCCACCCATTATCTAAAATTCTATAAAAATTTTACTAAGCTACCACCCAGATAAAGGGTGTTAACAGTGACTCTTACT